ACGACTCAAATGGAGATCATTAGATTTTCAGTGGTGAACCGCATCGGCTAAAAGAACACCTTACATAGACAGAAACATAGCTAAAGATAATTGAAAATAAAGTGTTCTTCCTATACAAGAATTGTAAATTATATTGATATTTACAATCTATTTTCGACTTACACACTACCCGTTGGTCTAAGTTACCAAGATATCTAACAGGAATTAATATGGCATCATTTTTACTCTATATCAATGCCTTGTCTCTTCCACACCATAGACTCTTACTCGTTTGGATTATCCTTTTGGACGGTCTTTCGAGCGGAAGTATCATCCACATCGTGCCAGTGACTCGTTCTTTTCAATCCTTTCCCAGGCGCGGTTTTGACTCGCCTTTTCCTCCTCCTCCTCCTCCCAGATCCTGGGGATCCCTTCTCGCTTGCTACCCTTTCCCAGCACTTACGCCCCGGCCACCGCTACCTACGACATCGCCCTGCGCCCCACCGCCACCTTCCCGCCGACAATCTCCGTGCTGTCGGTGCCGCCTGCCCCCTAACCCGGGCCAGAATCCGAGACTTCTTGCAGCCCGCGGCGCGGCGCGGTGGCCGGCGCCCTGGGCGATGTTTTTAACCACGGGCGAGAGCCTGAGGGCGGGCGAGCGCCGCTGGCGCGCCGCCCAATGAGCCCGCAGTATCTCACGCCGCGTGACGGCCGGCCGCCGCCGCCGCCGCAGCGAGGGAAAGGGCGCCGGGGGCGGGGGCAGAGCGAAAACGCTCGCCCATTCACCCACCCACTCTGCGCCCCCGCTCGCGCCCGCGCCGCCGCGCCCGAATATGTATCTGGCGCCTTCCGCTCCCTTCCGTTCCGAAATGCTTGAAAGCTAAGGCACGCCCTCGCCGCGCCGCACCGGATGCCTTTCCCACCCACAAGGCTGAAGCAGCCACAAAGACACGGAATAGCGAATATATTGCACATTAGAGCTACTGCTCAAACACCTCGCTGTGTGGATATTTCAATCGCCTTTTATTTGACTTTTAGAATTACTATCTGTATCATTCAGTACGGATTTGTGTGGATTTCTGCCAGGAATAATGAAGTCGTTTTGATGACGGGTTTTGGTTGGGCTGATGAAAAATGATTGAAAATCATTTTTCATCAGTCTTCTTATAGGCCTTCTCATTTCACGGGCGCCAATATGGAACTAGTTTGCCTCAAAATTAATACGTTCCTCACGATTTCCATTGAACGCGTGTATTACGATGCGGCGGCGGTCAGCCACCCACCTCGTCGTGGTTTGGTGCCTCGCGCAGAGGTAAGGAGCCGAGTGCCATCAGGCCCGATCTATTGATTTATTTGCCGCCGGAGGTGGCGGGCGGGCGGACGCGCCGGCCGGGAGCGGTGCGGCGCTGGCGGCTCGTCTGGCAGCGACCGACGCGACTCGACTCGACGCGATGCGACTCGACGCGATGCGACTCGACGCGATGCGACTCGACGCGATGCAACTCGACTCAATGCGACTCGACTCGACTCGACTCGACTCGACGCGACGCGACGCGACGCGACGCGACGCGACGCGACGCGACTCGACGCGACTCGACGCGACTCGACGCGACTCGACGCGACGCGACGCGACGCGACGGCCAATATATCGGGTGTGCTGGCGATAGCGGCCCAGCTCGTACCGAAGCTGCGGTTCTTACTCTCTGCACCAGCTGCACGACCTGCTTGCAGATTTCTTCTCTCCAGACTTACTGGTTGTTTTCTTCTTTACTCTGTGTCCCTAGTGCCAACAATTTTGTTGGTACCCAGTCCTCATTGTATTCCTGCATTTCGGCAGTTGCTTCTGGGATGTCGCAACTCGTTAACCTTTGTTGTTGTTTTTTGTTGAAATCCTGATTTTTGGTCCAGCAGAATATATCTAACACGTGCACGAAGCTAGAGAGAAAACTCCCTTAGGATCTACAAATCCTACGAATAAGAAATTCATTGTCCTGCGGTGACTACGCCTGCCTGGCCCACTAGCCTTCCCTGCGCCCTCTAGCTCTTTCTCTCCCCACCGCCGCGCCGCGCCGCGCCGTCAGCTGACGACCGAAATCCTCCACGCTCCGAAGTCTTCGCTTGCCGCCTTACTATGGCTTCCGCCCGTTTCGGTGTCACGCTTCGCTTTGCCGAGATTCCGCGAAAGTTGCGGTGAAGCACACTTTTCTTTTTCTTCGACTCGTCACCGATCTGCTCGCGGGGTTTTGCCGGCGGGCGGGATCAGCCGAATCGAAAATAAGTGCCGTTGCGTAACGTCGTTTAGGAGCCGACATGTAATATACATGAGGTGCAAATGCTGTTGGATGTAGTGTGAAGATATAGGGTTTATTTTTCCACTCCCTAGATCGATATTAGCAATCCCTCAGGCCCTTTATGATATACTTGCGTCTGTAGAATGTTTTATTTTTTAAAAACTCATAGACATTTTGTTACATGAAATTAAAATAAAATGATAAAATCAATTGTAAATCTTGAATACAATTATTAGGATTAGTAGTAAATGGTGTGGTGATACAAAAATAAAGATTGATAATTCGGTTAGAATTGTCAGTGATTAATGTGCCCCATCGTTTGTGAAAACTTTGTTTATCGTTTACTGGTAAAATATACTAACCCATTTTGTATATCAAAATCGTTGATCGGTAATTGAAATGAATATTCGTTATAAAAACAGTGTTAAAGTAAAAATCTGGGACAATTTCAAACAGCAAAGAATATTATTTGTCAAAGAATTCGATTAAGGCAGTCAATCAAATGTATCTCTTACGTAAAATATAATTTTATAATAAATGTATGTACGAAAGATATTCGTACTAATCATTTTGTGAACGAAGATGCGCTTGTGTAGTTGCAACTCTAAAAGGTGCAAAGGTGATACTGCTGCTACGCGGCAGCTCCAGTGCCCCCACGAGGCGAGAGCGAGGCGGCGAGTGCGTGCTGCGGTCTGCGTGGGGCCGCTGGCGATCGGAGACGAGCGAGCGTGTGTTTAACGAAGCGCTTCCGCCGGCTCCCAAGTTGCCCACTCGCCTCCCAAGTTTGTATTGCGACGTGCGAATTCCGCCACGAATGAGACCACTCGGCGAAAATCCAATTAATAGTTTCGAAGTGGAACATTCCGAACAAGTTGACTTAAATGCAGCAATGCGTTTGTGAAGTTCTTAGCGGGTGTGTTTGGAATTAAATCTCAAGAAATGTCGATTTATGTTTGGAAATACATTTTTGATACATCTATTCCTGTGTTTGGGCATGAGATTTCCTACTAGGACTATGTTTTAATAAGAAAATGTCATTAAAGAACGAAATGTTATATTTCTCAAGCAGCTTGACCTTTGCGTGCTCTTTTTTATATGCCTTGCTCGCAAATAGCGAGCAATAGAATTTTAATTCCATTTGCACAACTTTATTTCCAGGGATAATGTAATTTGTAAAATTTGAACATTTCCTAAACAATTTGTCATAATATTCCCTTTTTATAAACAGAAACCCGTTGTTTTCTCTTTAAGCGAGATTAAAAGTGCATCTTAAAAATCTGATTACACATAAAGTAGGGACCATCACGTCGTTATTGTACTCGTTAGGTTTCTTTTAAAGAGTGTAGTCCATTTTAATGCAAATTTGAAACATTTACAAAGTCATTATCATTCTCAACTCAGAAATGCAGTCAGAGTAATGACATTTTGGTATACATGTCGAGCGAACCAGCTCTGAAGCGGAAAGACCTTTCAGTACTCAGCCATGAGGAGTGTCGTATGGGAAGTGCATCGTAAGCGCGTCGCCCGTTTGCTCTTGGGACCTCGCCTCCCTCGAGCTGCTGGTGAGCACAACGTCGCGCGTGTTTAGGTGGACCGGAGGAAGGAGGAGGGCAAAAACCGCACGGCCAACAAGCGGGCGTCGACGTGCGTGCCCCTGCACGCAGCGCGTGTTTGCCCTTTCTCGCACTCGCCTCGCGCTCGCCTCACGCCGGCCCCCGCCTGTTGACTTGCGGAGTGACGGAGGGGTGACGATGGCTGCGCTCGAGCGCTGAGACTTGCAACGTGCAACACACCGCCGGCGCGTTGCGATTCCCTAGGTGACGTTGCTTGTTGTTAATTGGCGGATTGTGGCGTGCCACTGTGGTGCCCTGTACTTCAATACAACCCTTTCTTACCCGGATTCGTTCCACAGATAATTGCCATGGCCAATATAGGCCATGTCGCTCATTTCAATTCATATTACTTTCCAGAATATTTTATGAATTAAGAATTTGCCGGATGGGGTTACTTGTGTGTTTTGAATTGCTTATTACTTCTCATAAAATAAATTTTCTACATTCGTGGTAACGTAATACATTCATTGCCGGCATTGTAAAGTGCATAGGGCGGAATGCGGTCTTCGACATTCCTTTTGATAATGCTCGTAGTGAAATATTTATCTCTTTTTTTTACGTTCAGTTGTAACTAGCTGCACAGGAAGAAAGCTTATGAGCCACGCGAAGTTTTAATTGTCACAACGCTTTAAGACGATCATGATCACTTCTTAAAGTTCATTTTAAATATTAGAAATACAACGTATAAATGTATACTACATCGATTCATAAACGGAGAAAACACGCTATAAATATTGTATGTAGTTCAGTTTTAAAGTACTTACATTAGTGCGTACATTGCAGTCTCGCGTGTACTACGTGAGAGGTATATTTGTTGGCATTGTTATAAGAGTCGGAAGTGATCATTAGGAAGCGCCTGGGGCGGAGGACGAAGCCGCTTCCGGTCGGAGGGAAGGGGTGCAGGTGGCGCGCTGTACTCGCGAGCGCTGGGAGGGAGGGGTGAGGCGGGGCGGGGCGGGGAGCGGCTGGGGCGCCACAACAGGTTCCCGGCGTCGACTGCGCCGCCAACCGCCATGACACGCAGCGCACCGCCAGCCGCGCCACGCCGCCCCCAGCGCGGGAGGCCGCGTGCATGCGCCCAGCGGCAGCCAGTGCAGGAGGGCGCCCTGTGTTGCAGGCGGTCGCATGGATCCCGCCGTGCTGAGCCTAGGCCAGGAGGTGGGAGCCTGGGACGCGGTTCTGCTGGAGCCGCTCTCCGAGGACTCATTCACCGCCAACCTGCAGGCGCGCTTCAAGCGGGACCACATCTACGTGAGTAGTGCCGACTAGCGTGCGCCACCCGCGCTGCCGGAGCTCCGCCGCCGCCGCACTTCCCCCCCTTCGGAAGACGGGGCGCGGCGCGCTGCCTGTCGCGCCAGGTGGCACTTCCGCGACCTCCCCAGATCGATACATCGTGCACTGTCCCTCGCTGGCAGACTTCGAACCTCGCGCCTATTGCTCCGCTTGCCCCTCCTCTCTCCCCGTGCCTTTCTTGCCCCCGCCCCCCGCGTTATTACTCGCCGTTGTAATATGTATCCGTCGCCTAGGGAACTCCTGCTTCGGCGCGGCGGGCCTCTCGTGCCCGGCGGGTGCGCTCTGCTACGAAATTAAATCGCCGCACGTTTCGTTATTCATTCATGCCGCGCCGAGAGCGGCCCGCCGGGGAATATTTTGCATATAAATTCGCGCGCCCCTCCATCGTTACCGCGTCCTCCATGGCGCTTCGCGGTCGCCGGGCGGCGCGCGACGACGCAGCGCGGCGGGCAGAGGAGCAGGTGTTTTACGGGGCCCGGTCCGCCCCCCTATCCGAAAATTGAAGTCTGAATGAGGCCGGAGGCGAGCGGGGGTCGAAGCGGAGCTTTGGGATGCGGTGTGACGATTCTGCGGAAGAACTGCTGCAGGTATCGGGAATGACCGGGAATAGATACTTGATGTTGGTTCCTAAGATACAGTCAATATTGCATTTCAGTTGTTATTGTATTGCCTGTTCTACTGATTAACTAGTAACAAAATAAATATTTCTGCTAAAGTGCCTTTGCGAGGATTAAATCTGAAGAGCCTCATTCGGATCTCATTTCGACACTGCTAATGTCAATTGATTGATAGCGTTTAGTTTTCCTTACGTTGTCTCACTGTTCTTGTAAAGTACTTAGCCACAAATAATACCGTGCACCACATTCGTCAATCCCCGCTATTATTTAATGAATTCAACGAGACTGGAAGCCAAACTTAAAGATAGTTTACAAGTCGTCCTATCCTTTATACAAAAACTACAATGTTCTGTTTTTACTTGATTTGTTCAACAAATAATTACAGAAATTTGAAAACTTCGTTGGACACAAGTCTTTCAAATTAGTTTTACTAATCATGAATGCGGAATATTTTGAATGCAATGGTGAATCGGAAAATGACAAGACCTAGTCATTGAGAGGGATGCAAGGCTGCTCGTGCATGTGCGGGGGGTGCATCGCGTTCCATTCATGCAGCGGTGGAGCGATGCCTGCGGTCCTCTGGGAATCACGTACCACTCACTTGTTAGTATGCAGATTGATTTATTACGCTATATACGTACGCATAGTGGATAATGTAGTGTCCGCGTGTGACGTGCAGTGATCTGGGACATTACAAACTATTTAAATTGCTCAATGCTAATGATACAATTGGAAATTGTATTTAATCGTGAGAAGTCTGTTGTTTAAATGCATTGAAAATGCGCTAACAAATGTTGAAATTTTTAGAGACATTGTTTTTCATACAAGAACCACTCCAAAAGTTCTTTAAAACACAGTATGTCGCCGCCGGCTTTTAATATTGAATAGTGTTTTCTGGTATATTGTACAATTAATTTTTTTATATTATTTCCATTTTTATTACTTATTATTTCTAGAAACGTAAAATCAATTATTAAATCTTCATATAATTTATTTCAGGAAATTCCATAATTAAAATTTATAGAACTCTAACTCGTCCACATATCCGTACATGAAATACATGAAGTACATGAAATTTACACAATTAAAAATTGATTTATTTTCATGGAGTTATACTTCGTACGTTGTGTCAATAAACAAGGATGTGGTGGTCTGACAATGTTAGCAATGTTTGTTAAAGCAATATAGCGAGCTTTAAAAAATATTTCTCTGGCGCTGTTATTTGCGTTTAGAAAACACATTCATTTGTGAAAAATTCCTCAGTTGCTGATTAATTTGGTAGCCACTGAGAATACTTTACCGCAGAGTATCATTATTTCAATGCTGTTTGCATGTCAATTTTCGAAATCATAACACGCCATTCCACGGCAATCCCCATGTCGAATCCAAAACGCGCATGTTTATTTAAGGCGGTGGGTGTGGTGTCAGGGTTGCGGTTGCTACAGGAAGGGCTTTTACTGCATCCAGATGCCGCGCCTCGCCAGCTCGGAGGCGCAGCATGCGACGCGATCTCCCGATGGATAACGTGGCCCGTGAGAGTCCTTGCTCGACTCAGAGAAACTTTTCTGTTCTTTGACAGAAGTAGGTTTTTTTTATTTGTAGAGAATTTTCAGAGTAATTTTCATTTAAACAGTTGCAAGTGTTGAATGTATTTAAGGCAGGCCTATTCCTTGAATTTTTCTTTAGTCTGAAACGGAATTATTTTGATCATCCTGATCAGAAACGTGTACCTACATTTTACTAACATCACGATTTCAGGGGAATGTTGTTTTGTAATATTACTGCGATCCCCAATTGCCATTTATTTTGTTAATGTGTCTCATGGCATTCGCACTCATTTAAAATCGATAATCGAACGGTGCTGTTTGAGTAAATTGCTGCCATCTTTCCATTGTTACGTCTCAAAGGGGGCGTCGTTCGCGATGCAAAGGAGTGCAGCTGCACCGTCACGGTTCGGCGTCTCGCCCGAGAGGACAACCCGATTCCCCGTCGCCGTGCACTCTGGCTTCCCGGCTTCACACGTCGCGTTTCACTGTGCACCTGATCACCTCCTTTGACCACTTACCCTCGCCCTCGCCCACGCGCCCGCCCGCATGTCCTTCCGTCCTCCTTCAGATTGTCCTTTTTGCTCTCTATTTCGGACAGAAGCTGCGTGCCCCTCGCGCATAACCCCCACGACCCCCCCCCCTTCCTCGTTTTCCTTTTATCCGTTCCCGTTCAAGCCCCGCCCACCCTCCATTGGCGTCTTCACACTTGCTGCAGGAGTTTGTGCTTCAGATCACCCCACGCTGAATGGGTCTCGCCCTCAGCCCTAAGGCTGATGCTGCCATCGCCAGTACCTCCGTTGACACTGCCTGTGTGGCGGTTACCCGCCTCTACCACTCCCCCTCCACCCGACCCCGCGTTCCAGACGTCGTCGCTGACACCAGCGCCCCGCAGGCAGGCGGCCGCACGTCGGCTCCGCCGTCACGCGGCCGCCGCCCATATTGCAGTGGCCGTCCTGAACGTATTTTAAAACGACGCTGTCGGCCCGCGCTCGCCCGCCGCCGCTTTCTGCCATCTCTCGTTTATTGCGGCCCGTCGCCACTGCCGCCGCCGCCGTCACCGCCGTGGTGGGGCTTCGCAGGCCCCTGTGCACCGACCCGCACGCACTTCCGCCCAGGGCGCGCCAAGCATCCGCCGCTATGAAATTCTCTTTCCAGCTTCCTCGCTTTAGGTCTGCAATAAACTTTTTTGCCCGCTGTTACCTTCGGACAAAAAAATTGTTTTTCCATTTCTAGAGGCGTTGAATTACCCTTTTACGCCATGGTACTAATAAATACGTCAAAATTACAAATACAAAATTCAAAAATAAATAAGAAAGATCGTTTGATTTGTCATTTAAAATTTAATTTTTAATTTACATTTCCACACAGACGAATATTTTAGTCGGCGAAATCAAAATATTATTTTATTAAACAATCTCTCTTCTTGAAGAACACTAATTTCGTGTTCCGTAATGTCCTTTGAATTGTTGCATTCCCAAGGAACAAATCCATATTTTTCTCAATTGTTTATTGTACACGAGTTCATGAAACCTGAAATCCACGAATTCGTGAAATTGAGATTTTTAGAGCATGTTTTTTGGGACTGATGATCTTTCACATTCACTTTCAATGTCATGCTTCATTATGCAATTGCAACATTTCATATTAAATATTTTACTTATTTTCAATTACAAAGACGAGAGATAATAAAAACTACTAAACAAACCAGTCTCTTTAAACTGGAAAATCAAAATTTGATAGCCCTTGATCCTCCAAACAGTAATTCTCCGCCGTATTGAATATACCTTTGCCCCCACAGTCCTCCAGGGGCGAACCCCACCGTGGCGGCGGCGGCGGCGGCTCCCTGCGGAAGGTGCCCCAATTGGCGTGAGTGTCCCACGCTCAAACATTTCTGTTCGAGGGAGTTGGAATCCCCTGCGTCCCCACTTGCCTTAATGATCCCCCTCCGCCCTCCTCCCCTCGACGCACCGTCCCCGCCCTCGTGATTGTGTAATCAGCCCCGTTCTCCCGCCCGCGCACTTCGTTTCCGGCGGCGGAAATTTCTCATCGACCTCGAATTTACAATCTGCGAGATTCGCGATGGAGTAAGCGCGGGCGCGCCGACTTCGACTGGAAGGCGAGACCTTCTCCCGAAGCGCCCGCACCGCCTCCGCGCCTTTGGAGAACGATCTGACTCGGCACGATTCTTGTTGCAGACGTACATTGGCGACGTGTTGGTGGCCGTCAACCCTTACAAGAAACTGGCCCTGTATTCGGACGAACTGGCCCGCGCGTACGCCCGCCGAGGACCCTACCAGCTGCCGCCGCACTTGTAAGTACTGGGTCCGGAGAAATTGCGTGCAACTGGAGGTGTCATACAGTTATTTGGTTGTCTTGTTTGGAAAAAAATAAATTGCCCTAGTCGCGTTTATATGCCTTTACTCATTCGAAACAATGCCTTACTCGAAAAACAAAAGGCGGCAAGCAGGATAATAATAATAATAATAATAATAATTATTATTATTATTATTATTATTATTGTTATTATTATTATACCATATTATATTACCATAATAATAATAATAATAATAATTATTGTTATTATTATTATTATTATTATTATTATTATTATTATGGTATGGCGGCCCCTGGTTATACAATTCTACTCGCTGGTATTCTCCTTACAGTGATTGTTAGGTAATGTTGCAGGAAATATTCCCATTTTTCAACATTAAACCACAATTTTTGGGACTCATCCCGAAAAAATGGATTTTCCTGTCTCCTATACTACTACTTTTTGTGTCCGTCAGTCTTTGAACAACACCAGTGCCTAAACCTTACACTGGTTTTTCGGCAAAATATTGCGGCCTCACGAATTTAAAACGGGTATTTTCGTTTTGCGGGGTAATTTACATGATGCTCTTAGGACATTTTCGAAATATTCTAAGAAATTATTCATTTTTTTTTAATTTCTTTCTCCAGTACAAAGCGCAGATCCTATTTTTATTAACATCTTGAAATGTTTAATATTGCAAACGTTTTAAAACATTTTGAAACTCTCATTCAACTAAGTTATTAGTGATATAAATTAATTTCTTAATACAGTTTTTCTCAGTGTTAGATTTCTGAATAATTTCATGTACATTTTAAAAAAATTAATTTGGGGGTAATTTTGAGTTATATTGTGTTCTTATAGTTATCGTTCCTTACCGTTTTGATGTCATTGATCATAACATTTTACTTTCCAAATTACCTTTCTATACAATTCGTGGTATTGCTCTAGATTGTTTAAATTGTTCGTATTGAACTGCGATCTCAGAGAGTAGAAATTCTCTATTGGAATGAAGGGACGTTATTTACTCACCTTTCTGATTATTTGCCAATTGCACATGGGGTCCCGCAGGGTTTAGTTTTAGGCCCTATTCTCTTCCTATTCTGTTTGAATCGTCGATATGCTCTCGACTATTCAAAGCGGAAAAACAATTATGTTTGCGGATAATACGAATTTTCTTGTCAGTAAAGAAACAGTAAATAGTTCAGTATCAAGTTTTTACGTTGGTTTCACATTTACAAATTAAAAATAAGCGAACGGTTTCAATGCAGTTTTCCATTTCAAATATTGTCTGATTTAAATATAGTGACTCCCCAATGTGTGGAGCTAAGGAGAGAAGAACAGTCATCCAAACGGGAGTCTCAATACCAAAATTTTAAGTCGTAAAGAAGGTTCCCACTATGCGAATTGTAAGACACTTTCAAACAACACCCCGTAAATGCGCTAAGGCTGGACCCACTTGTGTATCAAACAGTTTTTAGTCGAAATATTTAGAATTTCGCAAATTGTGATAGAAGGAAAATATGATACGCAAATACAACTCAAACAAACTTTATCATAAAGCATAACGGGGAAACGATGCGTTCCCTAAGTCCTTAAAATCAGGTTCTTATGTCCCTGGCGGGACCTTTTGCACATTCTGTTACATTTTTCAATTCTCACACACTCAATAGCACGGGTTGTCAGAAACGTTCGTAATTTGGTTCCAGTATGATGCTATTTTCATTTTAAAAACAAATATTTAGAAAGTGCGGAATATTTCCACGTTTTCTTAGCCCCAGAAACACGAACGAAGTTTTCCTACAAGTTGATTGCATTGGGCGAATCGATTTCGAGTTATTTGTTGTTGTTTTATTTTCTGGTTTTGTGTTTACATTTATTGTTGGTCGTAATAATATGACAAGTTTCTTGGTTCTTGGTTGTGGAAACTTGACTGCTAGGATTAGCACGTTTAAGAATAGAAGAAGACGCTATGCGATTTACCATTTCGCATACATTTCAGGACAGTTGCACTGTCATAAGTCCATGAGAAGCTGATGTTTGAATTGAAGAATGGTCAGATACATTTTTCTATTACGTAAAATTCTGAATTTTTTTTCCTCTCTTGAAGGTAATAATGAGTTTGTGCGTACTAAAATTCTCTTCACTACCAAAGTTTTGAGACAGTTTGTTTTAGGATGTACTATTTCACTTCTGAGAAATACGTACATCAGCAGAGTTTGTCTTATTCACTTTTGCAAGTTTCATCTTGCTTATTAGTCTTTGTAGGAGGATGTAAATTGTTTCCTTTCACGCGACTCGTTATCGCGTCAGACGACGAGTGGAAAAGAGGGAGCTGTAGTGTGTGATGAATTTTATTGTTTTAAAACTGGATCTAACTAGGCTCAAAGTATGGAGCGTTTGCAGCGAGTTTTTGAGGACTTTGCTCTCCTCCAAATGAAAACATAATCCGGGAGTACATAGCGGGAAACCATAACCACTATTGATTTTTCTTTTCTTTCTTTCTTTCTTTCTTTCTTTCTTTCTTTCTTTCTTTCTTTCTTTCTTTCATTCTTTCTTTCTTTTTTTTTTCGAAAAACTAATCAAGTGGCATTTGGAGCGGCATTACAGATTTCATTTTCATTTTTCAGATTCCTGCTGACTTTCAGGACCTTTTTATTCAAGTAAGCGTCTTGCACGTTATCAAATGAAAATAGCATTTATGCTGAAATTGGAAAAGATATGCTTGTTTTACTTGTCGAATACTCTAAACCCTACATACGTTTTTGAAATTGGTACTGTCCGTCAAAGGACGAATTTTTTAATAGAGAGTTGCCGCCAGTTGATAATTTGCTTCCTTCTGTTTAACTTTCACCAACAAAAATGAATTGACCTGCAAGTATTAAAAATAAGAATGGGGGCACTTTCGTTTATTAGACTAAGTAGTCTAAACTATTTCTCTGCTATCATCCTCTTGGACTATCGTTCTTCAGTGATGCGTAACGGAATGCCGACAAAACATTTGCCGGAACGGCTGCTAAACGGAAGCGGATTTGCAGGAGTCACTCTTGCACAGAGATATAATATACACTTACACAGCCATTACAATCTCATCAACTTCGTAGCTGTGACTGAACCACGTGTCTTTTCTACATCACGCAATAAAAATTTCTTGTGCGTTAATATTAGGTCTTCCAACATTAATACAAGGAACCAGTACATTATGCTTTCTAAAGTGAGTTTACTGCCGTTGCAGAAATAGATTAGATATAGTGAATTTAGAAATGCTGTGCAAAAAGTACACTGAATATTTATTTTGTGGTAATATTGTTATCCACATTGTTGTAAATATATTGATTTTAACATACGTTCGTGGTAAGTTTGGGCGTGGAAAGAACCGTTTTTGTGGTAATAATGTTCACTAAATTGTTTTAAATGTATTGATTTTAACAACGTACGTTTGTGATAAGGTTGATCGTGGAAAGAACCGTTTTAGTAGATATCACTAACTTTCAATCTGGAATGTAGATCGCATTTAGATGTAAATTGCCAATTAAATCTATTGTCCAGAACGATTTAAATGAATTAAAAATGAAATTTAACGATTAAAAAAATGATATTGTAAGAAATGGTATTTGTTACTCACAGGTGAATGTATTAATTTTGTTATTTTTTGGCTCAGAATTGCTTTTCTTGAGGTGCGAGAGTTCTCGCACGGGTACGCTGGACGGTTTATTTTGCTGTTTTAAAACAATTTGGGAAAGTGAGATTAAACAAATCAAAATAATTTATGAGAACATTAAGGATTTGATATAGAATGTCTAAAATTAAATGATTGCATTAAAGCCCGATAAAAGTAATGTACATAATTTTCCAGGATGGCATAAAATGTAAAAATATAACTGAAAAATGGCCAGCTATGTATTTTTCTCAGTTTTGCAGGGGAGTATTACTTGATAATGCTCGCGAGGTAAAGTGAATGACAGCAGCCCTTTGCTGGGCGTGTACTGCAGACGATCTGTTCACATGAGCTGTGGGCAACCGTAGTGCGAGAACGAGTGAGCTCTCGTCACTTCTCCGGTGGGTGGGGGTGAAGGAAGAACCGGAAGGAGGGCAAGGTCTGCAGCCGTAGGAACGGACAGACCGGAAGTTGAAAGCCCTAGCGGGAGGCAGAGAAAGATTCCACGGGAAACCGAGCAATTGAAAGAGTGATGGCGAAGAAAGAAAATGGAGGGGGCGAACGAAAGAGGTGGGAGGAGGGCTCGTGGGAGAGCGCCGCCGCCGCCGCCGGGCAGACAGCTGGACAGACGTGCGGTCGCCGCCCGCACGTGATGGATGTACCCGCAGCTCTCGCACGCGCTGCACCGGAGCGAACGGGCGATCGGGCGAGCAGCCTCTGCGGTTGTCGACATTGCCCCGCCACGTGTTCCTTTCCCACCCGGCCCTTCCCCAGCGCACGCCACCGGTCCAAACACCTCTCGCGCACGAGGGGACACGCACGCCGGCCTCTCTCTGGGACGTCCGGTCCGAGCGAGAACACGTGGCTTCTCGTCTCGCTTCGATATCGATCTTCGGTAGATGTGGAGTCACGAGTGAAACAGTATATACGTTACGAGTCCACGTCGTTTGAATAGAAAGAACATTGCAGTTCTTTCGGATATTTCAGTGTGCTGAAGGGAAAAAGATTTTATCGCGTAGGGCTCTCGCATCACTTGATCACAGTGATTTTCTTGCTTAAAAATAAATTTTAAATAAAAATAGTGTTTGTGTCTGGTTGAAACTGTTCTCTTATATATTTATCCTAATTTTCGATCCCTGATTCCTGGGTGAATACCGCTGCTGTTTATGCGCATGCCAAAATTAAACTTTGGATGATTTGTCCAGAATTACACTCTAATCGGTCTTCCGAAAATCTGGAAAAGGCATCAAGAAATTGATGTAAGGAATTCTTGGTTGAGGATGCCAGATGTGTTGCATTGATTACTCAGAAATTGTTGACCTACAAAAAAGTAATCTTACAATATTAAACTGTTATCTGCAATATTTCTAATTCACGTATATCGAAATTAGACAAATAACTTTTTTTGATATTCTGTCGGTGTTTCTAAATTGCAGAAAAGATAGATACGTATATTCAACGCTCCCTTTATCAAGTTTCATCACTAACTTTCCGGGGTGTTGCAGTTGGTTATTTGTTTCGAGAAAGAGAAACGGATTTGGTTCTCTTGAAAAGAAAAATTGCCTTCAGCGAAATGGGAAACACTCCAAGATTTTTTGTCGGTACTTTCCAGGGTATTGCTTTCGTAAATATATTTTGGCATGCAAATCGTGAATTTAAATATATCCCCTACAGCGTTTCTTATTGTTTCCGTCTAAATGCCTTTGTTGTACAATTCATGAAGTGTTTGACAAGTATTCATTTGACGCTTTATATATTATATGTACGATTTAATATTTTTCGACCGGATTGTTCTGATTCTACTATTATTTCCTTTAGTTATAACAATATTAATAATTATTAATAATAATTCATTATTGTTATAAATTACATTTTCACTGTTCAAAAAGGGCTTTGTATTCAAACCACTCTGTTCAACCTACAACTGTGACAGTGTGGTGAAAGTATTATTATTATTATTATTATTATTATTATTATTATTATTATATTGTCTTATGTGTAATAGCTCTTCAAAAAACAAATATCTTTGTAGATTTCTGTCGCTACTTAGGCTGCCAGAGGGAAAATGTCATAACGAATAGTTTTTGCCTAATTCTGTTGTAGGCATTAACATCAGTAGATCAATATAGAGCAAATAAAAAACACGGTTGAAATTGAAAGCCAATGTTTCTAACCAACAAGACCGTTATTTTTAATGTGGATCGAGGGTCGCTCATTACTGTTCTTAATAGTGCCTTCTAATGTAAAACATTGATGTTAATATAAATACAAGATACATCGACAAGAATTTATTGTGCGCCTTCTTTTGCTACAACTCTTTTGTTTAGTTCAGAGATTGCCAAACCGTCGATAGCTAGCTGCTTATACGTCGCAGGGAAATTTTCAACAAATTGCAATATCACTGTCAGCTTGTCTAACCAAGAGTTATTTGCTAAGCTTTCAAATTACTCACGAAAACTGCTGCTTGCATACTGCCGCACAACTATCACTGCTGGTCTCCTAGTTGATTGATGCTTAAGGTTATGTTCGTTATGTTCAGCGTGTGTGTAGCAGTCATTTGCTAATGTGGATAGTTTTATGGAAGTTGTTATTTCTATCCTGCTTTTCTGTTGTTCAACCCTCAAATGTGTGGTGGACGCTGGCCATTAAGAGTGACCTTTTTTTCTCTGGTTGTATCACTGGAGAAATTTCACATGTGTGCACTGTATGAATTATTTTGTAACGTAATAAATGGCGCTAAAGATAACATGTAATGGGAAAAGTTATGTCATCAAATATCCATTTCCCTTAAAATGAATAATCCTTCTTGAACGCATTCGATTTCAAGAAGTTCTTTGCTGTGATCAAATGAGATTCAAGCTTATTAGCCCGGGGGGGGGG